TCTTGAAGCCTAGTCATAAAATAATTGAGACCTATAGTCATGTGATAAGCTGGTGCAATTATTGGTTTGTTCGCTTTGGTTATAGTTGCATCTTCTGTGGGCACTCTGCTCGGGAGGCACTGGGCCCCGATTATTGAGAGAGGCAGCAACAGAGGAGGTTGGCTTGCCAAGGCTAGCAGAGTGATTCGTGTGACGCTCTCTCTCAGTCTTTATTTCCTCCATGCCTTTCCCAATAATTTCCTATTTCACCCTGCCTTTATGAGCCGATTACATTTTATGCTTGGAAATTTCGTGTTGTTTTTTTATCACCTACTTCTGCCATCCTCAGCTGCACTTCCCATTCCTTGGTATCTATTCTTTTTCTCTGACTGACCACCATCGTATCTTAGCTTAATATTAAAAGAACTGCATGCAATAGGGCACTTAAAATTTCATGCCAGAAACAGCCAAACGTCACTTGCTGTCTCCATCATCGTTAACTAACTCAACAAGCAAATCTGACAGTCCATGAATGGCAAATTGGTCGACAATATTAAAGGTCATATGAGACGACGCGTAGGTACCGCAGCTCCCATGGTGTACTGTCAACAGCAAAGGTATGCAGGAGGTTGGATCTAAAACAAATGCGAACTTCTGCTATATAAGTATGTAATGCTTGTAATCAAGCTGGTGACTGTATAGGTCAGGATGCCAAGCACACTATGAAACATTTATTTCTAAATTACATTCCCAAAGCGGGAATTTAGCTTTAACAAACATTTTACGTCCCGCAAACTTTTGCTGTTGATAGTACTTCTACATGCTGCTGTCATGCACGCCTGAATCGAATGTAACGGCCATTATGGTCAAAGAAAAAAAATGCTGAACACCATGATGGATGGCAATGCAAATTTTTGGTCCTGCGTCACCTCTTTGTCATAGCTCACCCACCTCTTTTTTGTGTATCTTGAAGCATTTTTGCGGCAATTAAAGGAAAGAGAAAGCACTCCCATTATGTCGTAGCTTTGCTGACACTTCATAGATTGGGATGGTTTTGTAGCAAAAGATCTGTGAGGAAACATTGTTAATTAGCAAGATCTTTACATGATAACTGAAAGACGTGTTGCAGGGCCCTTTTATATACTGTGTATTGGATTTTACTGAAAGTTCGCATGCCTCCTTGATGTGACCCACCGGTGGTACATTTGTCCTTTCTCGGGCCATAGAGTACTATTTGAAACTGCCATTGGAGCTGTTGTTGAGCAGATGAATTCAAAGCTATGCCATATCAATCTGGGTCATTAATCCATATAATACTGGTGCTTTCTTTAATATTTGCAAGTACATAGGATTTCTAAGAGCTTAGAAATTTGTGTGCATAGGCTTATTCAATTGGGGGCACCTAACATCCTAGCAGCATCGGCCCCCAACCAGGTGTTATGTTGTCAACTATCCCAGATAGAGCCACTCAATGATACCACACTGATTAAAAAGTGATAGAACAGAAAATGTGTACAAACTACATCTGCTGCACTTGAAGGTACCATCTACTGTTGAGGGCTCGTCCTGAAATACTGGTGACAGTGAAAATACAATATCTCAAGATGATAGAAACAAGCTTGTAATATAATAACGATTTAGTGGCTCAGGTGTTGTGCACAAGGTGCAGCCATCAGCACCTTTAACGCAAACACTTCGATGCATGGCCAGGGCTAGTTTGACTGATGCCAGCTGCAAAGTGCTGTGCGCTTTTGCCAAGATAATACCTCGGTAGGCTTGGAAAGTATGTCGGCATGTATGGTTAGCATTTTGGCAACAGAAGCCAAATGTATGCGGTGTCAGCGTCAATCAAACTGCTGCAGGACATGTGGCCGAGCGTTCGTGTAAAAGGTGCTGACAGCTGTACACAATCTAATCCTGGCTGCGTGGCTGCTTTTTGATTGAAGTCAAACGCCACAATAGTTGTGTGCCCTGCATTGAGCGCACATTAGTTATTTCTCTGCTGGAAAAAAAAAAAAGCACCCACTTGGTTTTCTTTTTTTTTTTCTGAAAGGCACAGCATGGCCATCTGTGTCCATCTAGTCTTAGAAATTGCAACTAGATGGTTTTAACCACATGAGAAATTTTTGCTTATGGTGACTTTAGTTGTCATTGGTTATTTTGGTAAAAAATTTCATGGTGAATATACTCATCAATGGGAGCTAAAAGGTTAAAAGACCAAAGGTGTTCAAGATTGATTGATCTCTTATAGCAGTGTGCATCATAATCATATATCTTGATTTTGGTATGTATAAGCCTCAAAATATAAGTCTAAAATCTATTTGCCGAGCATACTTTAAAACTGAAAATTTCAATGTTTCCTAAAAAGATCTTGCGAGTCAAGACACTGATGAGGTTTCGATTGCATTAAAAAGTGAAGGACCTTCAAAAGTTAGCACATAGTCCTTTAACGTCACAAACACACCAGAATACTGTTCAATATTGACATTCTTTCATGGTTATCTTGGACTTCGACAATACGTGCCACAGAGGGAGGTCAGCTTTACAAGGCAGACAAGTGTGCCTTTCTCATCACCTACACTGCACATATTGTGAATCTTTTCGATCTGTTTAGGGTCATTGATAGACTATGGGCTTTCCACTCAGCTCAAGCACCTTTGTGCCATTGAAAAATCTATCCACAGGGGTGCAAATGCCAAAATAGAATTTGGAGCAATTTTTGAAGCCGCACAATGTTACTTTTGAAGCACAAAAATGCAAATTTGGAGCAGGTTACGGGGAGCAAAACATTAATTTTTTATCACGAAAGGCCCAATTTAGAGCATTATAAAAAAGAAGGCCTACATTTAGAAAAAAATTATGTACAAACCATTCATCATGCCCTGAATCGTGTAGTGTGAGTAAGAGCACTGCTATTTCAATAAAATTGACCATCTCACTGAGGCAATAATGATAACGTCTGCATTAGCATTTGGTGCGTCTCACTCTGCGAATTCAAATGTGGATCTGCAAAGCTGGCGACCTTGAAATTCAAGGAATTTGTAGAAGTGGCAAAAAAAAAAAAAGAAAAGCTGGCACACAATTTTCTTTAGGGCACCAAAAATGTCATACACGGGTCCAAATGATTGCCAGTAACTTTTTTAGATGTCATCGGCCCTACTAGTATTCACAATTATGCGCTGTATACAAGCGCGAGTAATTGAACAAAATGTGCGATATCCCGTGATTAGTGCAAACAGCTCCTTCAAAATCATAACGCGCATTTTCGCTGGGCACCGGTGTACTGCGGCAAAGGTGGATTAAGCAGCGTTCTGCACGAGTTAGGACAAGTCATGAAAAACCGCTAAACTCCCACCTCTTTTTGTTGCTTTTTTTCACGATGGGACCAGATAAGTAACAACAGCACGCACTTGCAGGGCCAGTGAGATGGCACCGGATATCTATTGCTGGGATGATGCAACTTCAAGACAGAAAAATGTATTATGTGCTGTTGCTATATCAACCAACGTTGTCGCCGGCAACACCAATTTTTGCAGCATATCGTGTCTGTTCGCATGCGAAGAATGAGGCATATGCTCCCAGCTTTAGTTGCTAACATGCCATAGCTACGTTTACTGTCTAGAAAGTTCATTCCTGCGAAGCGTTGGTGGCTACAGCAACTCCTTTTGTTTTCAAGTTGTGTCGTCCCACCGATAGGTATCTGCAGCAGTCAGCGGACCAATGGCGCACGGCTTTGTTAGTTTGTCTGGTCAACCGCGTGTCGCGAGAGCCCGGACCTAATGGGAATATATTCTTACACCGTGTTTCAGGTTAGGGTTGATCTGCACACTTGGATTGATTGATCATGCAAACTGCATGCTAATAGTCAACGTGGCTGCCATTTCTCGCTGAAATTAGCGCAACTGAGAAAACTTTCAGACTGGTCAGGCATTTTCGTGCAGCTTGGTGCAATTTTAGCAAATTTCATGGTTTCGGTGCAAAAATTGGGAATTATATCAAATTGGTGCAACTGTAGCACCCTTGTATGCAACAAGTCTCCCTGGTGTGATTTTTTTTGCAGGGACATCGGTTCTACATGACAGTAAAAGCCAATATGTTACCTTGCCTTCTAACAACATGGTAGTGTAACATTTTATTTTTGACTATTGTATCTAATAAGTAACAGAATTATTATGGCAGGATGGCACACTCTGAATGGCCGTACTTTCGTGTACATGCAACGTAACTTCGCTCTGGTAAGGGATAAGAATCTGGTTTTTAAGCACAAATCCTTTTTGCCAAAGTTGGATTCTTTTACTAGATGCTTAGTTTCCTTTTATAAAAACATAAGATCGCCACAAGCATAAAATCACCACAAGTTGAAAAAAAAAAAAAAGAAGCCAATTCAGAGGTGTCTTTGGAGATGTGTAGTGGTGCGTGCGAAGATCAAGCCCATTTATAAAAAATCAAGAGTGCTTTACTTGGTAATCGGCGATTCACTTGATTATAATATTATGGGCAAGCTTGACAATAAGGATACACTGCTGTGTTAAGAATGCATGTTTTTTTTAAACTACATGTATATTTTGGACGAGATTCGCAGCTAATAACATTAGCCCATTGCATACATTTACTAAACTCGTCGCTGCACAACTTGCCTAATCTTGACGATAGGAGCTTGGTACTTGGTAAAATTTACGAAACTGATTAGAGAACTGAAATAAATTATAGTATACATTGATAATTTCCAATCACCAAATTTCATTTTCTGTGTGCAGCATATTTGAAGCAATTTGCATGACAACTGTTTTACGTCACTGATGGCTTTTGTTGGCTAAGTTGACAAATTGTCCACTATGTAGGCAAAGCTGTGGTGGCAAGGGCGAATTTTTTGCAAGTTGGCATCTTATTCATAGTGGAGAATGGAAAAAGTATGCAACTGAAAAGCATGGTTGTTTTGTTATCTTGGTAGTCTGCCAATGCAGCTGCCTAATGCCATTTTTCAAACCTGTGCAGACTTCAAAAGTTAAATCACAATGACATGTAATGTGCATGTAATTTATTGCAACAACCATTGAATTCACCATGAGATGGTTGCATTAGATGCACACAGCATAACTAAATGTATCGTACATTCGCACCCTTTCAAAAGTGCCAGTTGGGCAAGTAGGTGAACATTTAGAAAGATTTAAACTCATAAAGACAAAGGGAACATATTTGTGCCATGTTTAAGTGTATTGCAGCCAACAAAAACAGTATTTGAACAAGTTGCATCTCAATTCAAAGGGCAATTGCTTGAGATTCTTTTACTCTTCTACAATAATTCATAGAACAATTTCCAAAACAATCAGTTTGTATTCTTTGAAGCATTGGGTGGCACAGAAATTTTCCTTTGAAACAATCATGCAGTGCAACTGATTTTGTAGTCACACTCATTATTCTGTTCCATTCCAACGAGACACCTTATTGATGACAGGCAGGAGAATATTTGATAGCTTGTAGCGAGTGCCATCCCAGTCAAAGTGAGTAGGTGGAGACTTATCACTGTCATCAGCAAAAGTAAAATGCTTGCTAAGCTCAATAGCCAAGAGTGAACGTATTAGCCCAACACCACCTGCCCTTTCAGGTGCTGGGTGATAGACCCTCCCTGTGCCAGCAGGCATGCAAAGGTGCTGTGGTGTAAACTCAACTTTCAGTAGGTTGCCTGCATAATTGTGTAAGAGGAAGCCTTTTGAACCTGGCTCTTTGCTTTCTTCGGGCAATTGTACAATGTGCGTGAAGACGAAGGGCAGGTCATCACAGCGGACAAAATTCATCTCCCGTCCACATGGAGAGATGAATGGAAATTCTGCTGTATACTTCCCAGTGTCATTATACTGCAGCCGGCGAAAGAAGAACTCCAGAAATTTTTTTTCTGGAAAGCACAAAGAGGCTGTGTTAAGCATAATAAAAATGAAGCACTTACTGTAATCAAATTCTGTCTACGCTTCCTCTTGTGTGTAAAAAAAATTCTGCTTATGCAATCCAAAACATACTAATACACTGCCGAGATACAAGTACTTCATGATATACATAAAAGTTTATGGTTCCTTAACATTTCTTATTTGCCAAAATTCACACTTGTTGCAAATGATGACTTGTGAATTTTTATAAGTGCAGCTAGTTAGTTGCTAAGATTGAACAATTGTACCAAGAATAATTTTTTAAAAGAAATGTTTTGAGCATAAACAAAACCAGCTAACTATAAGCAAACTGCAGTTAGTCAAAATGTACTTTCAATATTGCATGATATATTAAAACAACTTCCATGTAATATTGTCACTATGAACACAGTGCAGAACCACAAAAACAAGCAATACCGTGTTCGAATGCCAAACAACGATGTTTAAACAATGTTCACGCCAACTAATAAATTGAACTTCAGTACAGCGTCCTCGAAGCGCGAAAACATCAGCGACATAATAAAAATGGGGGGCACACGAACACCATTGATCACCGCCGGTAAGGTGGCATATCGCACGTGAGGCAAATGCGCTAACTTGTGATAGCACAGCTTGCACGGTGGTTGCAACGCATTGAAACAGACGTCACATCAACGTTTACGACACTTCAATGCACCACCCCTTGCGAAAGTACACCGACTACGCGAGAATTGTTTGCTCAGCATGACAAACTTGCCACGATAATTGATAACAATACCTTTGAAGCATGACGTGAAATTCTTCATTCTGGAATCATCTAGAAAGAGCTGCATGTCAGGAGACAAACTGTCAACACAACTTATTCTGATTAAGCAGCTGTTCTACAACAGAATAAGGCGTACCATTCCTTGATGGTCAATAAAATAGAAGTACTCCCTCGGGTACTCTTTCGTAGACTGGCCCTGTTCATAATGAAGATTTCTAATGACTACGCCCACAACGCCGCTTGGTAGGTTACGGCGCAATTTCCAGCACAACGCACGCCACTTCACCATTCTTCTAGAATATAGTAAATAAATGATTGACCACGCAACAGCCGACAAGCGATTAGGAGTCAGTGAAGCGCGTAGAAGTGGCTTGGCCACAAAACACCTATATCATAGAGAAATATACTATATTCCTATTTACTATATATTCTATGGACAATTTACTTATACAAGAGAAACTGTACCTTGAGAATGCAACGAAAGTGGCGCCGGTGGCGTTCTCTAATAACTTATCCGACCTAGAGATGGCGCTGGCATTGGTAGTGCAATACATGACCTACTACACTCCTGACCTGTTCAGATAGCGGGGTTCCTATGGGAGCGCGTGTCCCCGCTCTCGTTCAATCGCTCGCCGTAGGTGGCGCTACCTATAACCTGTTCGTCTGCTTCTTTACGGTTGTTTTGTAGGCGCTGGTATAAGAATGCCTGCTTTCTGTGGTGAACTGTCGGCATATATGTGACTATTTCTTCCCATACATTGCTGGTCAAGTAAGCTGTTCAGTGCGCTTAAGAATTTATAGCACACTGGTTGACAAACGTGGAAACCCGTGGATTTACATGATTTTGGACAGCCTATGCGTTGTCGCGTGCATTTTATTGCAAAAAAAATTCTGAATGTCTTTTAGTATTATTATTTCTGGATATTTCTAAATTGTGGATCATAAATTCGCACTACGAGTGCTTTGTTGGTTAAAATTTGACTACAAAGAGTGAAGGTGACGTCAGCGAACAGGTGCTGCCTAGCGCCACGCCGCTCGTAGGTGACGGCCCTAGCGGCAGAAGGTATGAACTAGAACGTGGGCGCTGGAAGAGGTGCTCTCTGGGCAGGTCAGGAGTGTAGTAGGTCATGGTGCAATACGAAGGGGTAGACACTGTATGCAGTGCATGTGGAGAGGAGGAGAAAACTGCCGAACACTTGATAATGTTCTGTAAAGGGCTTCACCCTATAGTTCGAGATGATGGCGCAAAGTTTTTTAAAAGCACTGGGGTTTAGGGACAGGGAGGGCAAAATAGACTTTAAGCGGGTAGAATTAACTAGAAGAAGGTTATCTGATTGGTAGCTAAAGTCAAAGCACGAGTGAAATTTAAAACCCTTCACTGCAAAGTACTAGTCCTCAACCTCACTACCTAAAGGGGAAAAAAAAGATAAATCTAGTGGTTACTTCACCAGGTATCACGACTAGGCGGCGTTAACCACCGCCCGATCTAAAGGGTATAGCCACATCCATCCACTCAATGTGGTAGTGTTGATATTCTATGGTCGCAGCGGAGTCAGCCGGATAACTCTCAACATAGCCTCCTATATAACTTTAGAGGAGGCTATGCTCTCAAGTTCACGCGATGGCCGTAGAGGGCGAAAAAATCGACCACGGTGAGTTAATTAAAAAAAAAACCCTAAGGTGCGGACGTGTTTTCGTGCGCTCCACCTGTTCGGCAGATTCAAGTTTGTGCAAGGTCAGTCGGTGAAGGTGCAGAGGATGCCTTGCATTAAAAAGTTGCTTCTTGACTGACGGCGTCACTTACGTAGGATTAATTATAAGTACGTTTACGCATTTTAAAAATTTTTTACGTTAATTTTGTTGCACAAAAGCTCCAAAAACGTAAAAACCTTTTTGAACACACCCTTACTTGAGTGGCTCCACCACTGTAGTTCCGACGACCGCCGCTCCCCAAGTGACCGCCGATATGCACGGGAAATCTATATAGGAGGCGTTCACGGAGGAACCTTTTCCTTCCTCCGTGGGAGGCGTTGGTGTGGGACACGGGCAACGTTGTAGTGACGTTGACCACGTGAACGGGGTAGGCGGCTGTTTTGAAGCAGTTCGGGGCGCCCGGTTAGTTGTTAAACAGCTAGAGCCGAACACGAAGGGGATCTAGTGAGCGGCTACTAGCGAAATTGAACTCATATTTTTGTGGTGTAGGCGGCAGCTTCAAACAGTTGTTGAGGCAGAAGAGTTAACGGAGGCGGCTGGATAGCGGGATTAGGGTTGAACGTAGGGCTGTCGGGCGCTGGGTCCGATGGTCGGGCGGGCGATGGCTAAGGAGGCTAGGAAAACCACGAGCGAGAGTGAGCTGGTGCAGTGCGAAGAATGCAAGTGCTGGTGCTACTTAGGTGAGACAGCATTCACGAGTTTGGCTGACGCGCAGAAGGCGAGCTTCGTGTGCAGGCTGTGCGAGGCACTGAAGGCGGCCGTGCAGCGCACGGAGGCTAGCATCGAGGGGCTTCAGGGGGCGCTTAGGACGGAAGGGGAGCAGAGGATAGAACAGCTAGGAGCAGAGATAGCAGAGGACAAAACAGCTCGGAGCGTCGCGTGAGCGGGAGGAGGCTACCGCCAGCCCATTAGAGCAAATGAAGGGCGAGCTTCAAAAAGAACAGGAAGGGCGAAACGAGCTCGTGCAGCGGGTAAAGGAGCTGGTGGCGCTTTGCCCCGGCCCCGAGCGTTGCTAGGCGGAAGGCATGGGTAGCGGAGAAGGTGACAGGCGGGAAGGAACAGGGGAGAAGGGAGGTCAGGGGGCCGCAGTGTCTGGCCACAGCACGGAGGCCCCGACAACATGCAGCTCGGAGGTGCGGCAGTCTTCGAGCAGGGCAGGAATACAGGACAGACGGCAGAAAGAGAAACAGGTGAAGCAAACAGGGGCGCCATCACAAACAGGAAGCCAGCGACTGGAGCGTAGAAGGGTCCCGGTGGTGGGGGACTCTAACGTGGCCAGGGTTAGGGATGGCGTCTTCAAGACAGTGAAGGAAGATGGGAGAATGAGGGTGGAGGCCCAGTCAGGGAAGGGCGTGGTGGATGCACTGGCCAAAGCTCAGGAGGTTGTAGAAGACAGCATGGAGGGCGAAAATCTCGTGATTATTCATGCTGGGCTCAATGATGTATTGAAGGGCAAGGATCAGAACCTTCAAAGACAGTTAAAGGATGGGATTCGTAAGCTCCGAGAAGCCTTTGGAAGTGTGCATGTGACCTGTGATCATATGCACAGTCCCAGAGGTCTGGGGGCACAGTCTCGTGGGATTGAAAGGAGGGTAGTGGAGGCCAACTGTGTGATCAAGGGTATGAGCCGGCAACTCGGATACAGCGTAATGGAAGTGAACCAAGACGTCTACGAGCCCGGCGCTCGCCCCTTTGCACAGGATGGCATTCACGACAGTGGTGCGACGGGCAGGAGGGTTGGTAATAGGATGGGTCGTCAAGCCACAGCTTTTTTTAGGAGGGGCCCAGAGCTCTGAGGCCAACAGTGTAGCCGAAGACGGTTCTAAAGGGGCACAAATATTCTAGCCATACGAAGTCCGTGGGAGAATGAATCGACGTAAGCACAAGGGCCGAGCTAAGACAGACATAGGCTATATTAACATGCAGGGTGGCAGGAATAAGTTAAAGTGGGAAGAGATAGAAGGGCAGTTGAGGCAGGAGGAACTGATGGTATATAGGGTTGTGGAGACACATCTTCAGGACATGGAGCAACCACCTTGCAATCCGGACTACGTATGGGAATATTGTAATAGCACAGAAGGCAGCAGAAAGGGGGTTGGTATTGGGGCATTCATTCATAAAAGTAGGGACTGGCAAAAGGACAAGCAGGAGTGCAAGGAACATTTATGGGTCAAAGGTAAAGTGGCAGGGCAAATGACACTCATTGGTTTGGTGTACTTGTGAACGGGAGCAAAGGCCAAAGAGGAAAACCAGGCAATGGTCGAGTGTATATCAAAGGACATTGAGGAATTAGGAGGAGAGTGCGAGATAATTATACTAGGAGATATGGATGCGCACATAGAAGACAACGATGGGTATACTGACTCAACAAGCAAAATGATCAGATATGTGTGAAAGGCGTGATTTGATTATTTGCAACAGTACTGAGAAGTGTGAAGGGCAAATAACTTGGGACGTAGGAAGGCTGCAGTCGACAACAGATTACGCACTGATGTCACGTAGGATGTATGATAAGCTCAGGGGAATGCACATAGACGAAGGTGGCTCCAGTAGTCTGGGTAGTGATCACAAACCTATCAAGCTAAGTTTTGGAAGAGCAGTGAAAGTGGGAAGGAGACAAGATGAGCAACTACAGGAAAATTTTCATTCAGAAAGGCAAATAGCAATTGCTACTAAACAAATTGAGAAAGTAATCACTGAGAATAATAAAACAGTGTGGACATACACAAATATAATCAGACTGTTTGAGCTAGAGCTTGCTAAGGCACGTGACAAGTCACCCCAGAAAAAAAGACACAATTCCAAGAGATGGTGGGATGAGGAAGTTAAGAGAGCCATAGCAAAACGTCAGGAAGATTCTAGGGAACACAGACATGCTAAGCGACGGGGTGAACCGATAGACGATGTTGAAAGAAAATGGGACATCTTTTTAAGCTCTAGAAGGGAAGCATCCCTCCTGGTCAATGAAAAGATTTGAAGAAAGGGTTCGCAGTGGCTGGCAGAAGTACATAAAAAGGACAGAAAGGCGGCTGCGAAATTTTGGAACCATCTAAACTCCCTAAGAAATGAAACAAGTCTAGAGCAGAGGTTTATAACTACAGCTCGCAGTGCTAGGCTAGAAGGGGACGAAGCTATTGCACATATAAGAACAAGGGTGACAGAAAAATTTCAGCAAAGAAGTGCCTTATGCACCAGAATAGACGAGGATGGTTCTTGTGGTGCAATGGCTCCATTTTCACAACAAGAGTGGGAAAGGGCTGAGAAGAAGGTTCCAAGTAGTACAACAACAGGCCCATATGGCATTCCAATTATGTTTATAAAGACATTGGGTCCGAAGTCTAAACAGACTTTGAGAGAGGCAGTAAGCAGAACAATAATCGATGGTGAAGTCCCCGTTGGATGGAAGCTTAGCACGATGAGCATGATCTATAAAGGAAAGGGGGACAAAGCTGACATAAGCAACTACCATCCTATAACAGTGACATCAGTGGTCTACAGATTGGCGATGCAGGCATGGATAGAGGATGAGGGGGTGCAAGGAGAACTGCAAAATGGGTTTCGGAAACACAGGAGGTTGGAAGACAATCTGTTCTCACTGATGCAGTGCATCGAAATAGCAGAAAAGAAACTAAGGCTCCTGTGGCTAGCAAGGGAAGAAGTGCCCTTAGGTATACACTTCTTTCCCTAGTTCATTAACGAGGGTCTCGTACTGGCAGACTTGGTGCCTTTATGTTGTATACGAGGGACTATT